TTTATAACATAAATACCTCGAGATGGCAGCTATGCCATTACCTCACTACAGCACCGAGTTGAAGGAACAGAGAAACGCAGATTTGAATCAGAATGATGGCATCCAGCACCGCCTGAATCTCCTAAGCTCTGGTCCCTTCCCAGACCTTGACCTCAAAGACATGGGCTGGGGGTGTTCTCAAGGGGACGTCTACAGAACAGTGCCAAAATGTCCAAGATTCTTCCTGGTTCTTTCCTGATAACATTCTCAGGACATCCAGTGGGTTCTACAACCTAGAGAGAAGGCATTCACTAATCCCCTGAATCAGAGATGGGTCAGGGGTGGACATGTATGCTATGGCCCTAATCCTAATTGGTGGAAGCTGAAAAGGACACAAGACCACAGCAGAGAGCCATGTGGGGTAGACAGCATCCTGTGGGTAGGCGCAATTTCCATGGTGAGTGTCATTTCCAAGGACCACAGGGCACATGTATACCCAGAAATGTGCAACTTCCTAGCCCCTGGTACAGCCTGCAGGCCATCCCTCAACTGCCTCAGCTACCCTTCCTGGCCCAAACCTGAAGGTCCAGAAAATGGTCTTCTGAAGTCTCATAACACCCTCCAGGCTTCTGTACTTAAAGTGTGGTGGTGTGGTTATAACTTGGGACACGGCCAGACATCTAGAGAGCTAAGAGTCAGGATCTTGGCTGAGTCCCATGCACACAGGAGATCAGCTATCTGGTATCCATCCACACCACAGAAATGATAGCCCTATCCACACCACTTGAGTCATGCCATAGCTGTAAAGACCCACACGAGCTAACTGTGAAAATGAGGGGGTCGGGGAGTAAGGAATTTCTTAGAGAACTGTGAATATGGTCTACCCTAGAAAATCCAGAAGCCCCAAGTCCCAGCATAAGCACTTCTAAGCTTCCTGTCCAATAACAAGCCCTGACTTATCAAAGTAATGTGCATCCACCATGCTGCAGGACTCAGGAAGAGCAGGTGCTGGGACTTGGTGAACACCTCAGCAGACGTGCTTAGCAGGAAGCAGCTAATGAGCTTGTTCACTCAATGTCACTGAGCAAAGCACTGTAAGCAGCTGGAAAAGAATAAACTGTGGAGACATCACCAACAGAGGAAGGACAGACAGCTTCTGCTCTCACTCTGGGAAGCACCAAAACATCAGGAAGGACTTCTTTTGGGCCAATCTACTTTACTATCACCTCACTGAAAAGGCCAGAGTTACTGGGCCCAGTGAGACAGGAGGCTGGGCACGGAGAGTGAGGCTGAAAGACCAGGGAGGAGGCTGTGCAGGGAGGGAGTCCTTGCCACAGTGCCTAGGACCCACACAATGTGTGCTATCTTTACAAAAAAGATCTTTTAATTATCCAACTTTTGCAGACTTTACAAAAACTTATTCATGAGTAAACACATTGCTAAGGTCCTCTCAGAGAGCCTTCGAAGGGGGTCGTGAAAGTGAAAGCTTTCAGCTTTCCAGTAAATGCTATGCCTCTGGGTTCAGGACAGCATTTCCAGTGAACTTCTAGAAAGTAAACTTTGTAGAAGAAAGAAAGTCAAGACTTACTTTAAAACTTTTGTCATCAGTATTAATCCTGAGCCCTTTTAGCCCAACTTTACATGCGGGAATTAGTTACCTGTGCTGGGCTCTGATACTTTCCAAAGCATTTTTACTTGGCTTTGACAATTCTACCTGAGGGGAAAGGGATGAGTATTATATTTGCTGTGACTTTACTCTCTAAAGATACACTAATACCTTTCCATGGTACCTGCTACTGTGCTGCTGCTTGGGACAGAACCATGAACAAGGCCCAGGCCTTCCCTTAAAGGGCTACAGCCTAGTGGGGAATCCATATCACTAGTGTGTCTCAGGTTTCCCCACCAAGAACCAATTAAGTTTCTAAGATGAAGCACTTTCAGCTTATTTTACCAAATCTCAAATGTCTTACAAGGAAGCTTGAGGCCCAGAGGTGAAAAAACGGACAAAGGCCGAACATCCAGGGACACGAGAGAAGTAAAGCAGTTCGGACTCACTGTGTGTCACCCATGTGATCCATGACCCACAGGGCAGCTAATGCCCTAATTTCAAATACTCACAATCTGCCCAAGGCTCATACTTAATGAGACTAGAACCTGAATTTGTTTCCAGAACCATCTTGACGCTGGCCCTGAAAGTATTTCTCTTAAATCAGCATTACCTAACCTCCAGTTACCTACAAACCACTCTCCCAACTCTCACCACAGTCACAAAAAAACAATGCTCTTTCACTTCATTTTTTTCCTACTTAATACCATTTTAAGAAATAACATGTATGAAATTGCAATTTGATGTGGGTTGGAATTAAAGGTTGTCACCTGTGTATTATCTAAAATCATCTCATATATCACACAAAACTCAAAGAAACATTTGCCTTGACAGTCTGCATGTCACAGGGTCAGAATCTAGACATGTCACTTTTTCTAAGGTTTCTGAGAATTTGTCCAATGTTTAGATTGCCTTTGAGTGGCAATCATGATAGGAATTTTAAGACTATCAATGGGGAATGAGAATGGTTCCCCATGCTTACTCCCCCAAATTAATTTGGTTATACTCTAGCTTAGGGGAGAAACAATAAATGACCCAAAAATTCCGCTGATGACAAAACTGGGTATGGCAGATCTGTGAGGCTCTGTCCTTGGGCTTCCCACCGGGGTGGCTTCAATGATAACTAGATGTTTCTACGACTTAATTCTTAAAGCTGGAGCATTATCCAAACAGTACAAGATGGCACTTAGAAAGAGAACTACACAGACAGCTGGAGTTGGCTGCGTTCCATTTCCAGGACTTCTCTCCCACGGTCGTGCAAACTTGAGGGAGTCACTTCCACTTTCAGTACCAAATTCCTTCTATTCCCTAGGAAGATAAGGTTCCATATTGTTTTGTGAATCTTTCAGTCTCAGCACCTTGAACAGCAATTGGCATATGGTAAAATTACTGAAGCAGTCAGCCCCATGAATCTGTAGACAAACCTAATCATCTCTAAACAAATAATGCTGTGGCCCAGGAAACCTTGAGACAAGATTTTGAGTCTATAGGAGTAGACTCCCATATCCACAAAGCACCTGTGGCCAGGCCAATGGAGGGATCAAACACAAGGTGAAGAAAGAATGAGATGACTTCTCCTTCTGGATCCCCAAAGCGGGACCCAGTGGTGCCATCAATGACCACAGAGGCAGGTAGGGCTCTAAGATCTGACCAGTAGTGTTCCAAGAAGTTGCAGTCTCTGAGGGACGGATCCCAGCCCCAAGGCTTGGTCTCCAAAAGGTCAGTCACTGGAATAGAATATCACTGAATTCCTAGATAAGAGAAAGCAGTAAGTAGCAGCAGTCTAATACATAGCAAAATCATGATCTAAAGTGGTAAGATAGATAAAGTGCAATAAGATGGCAGGGGGAAATGAGATGTACGTGAGAAAAGAGGTAGATATTTTCCTTTTGAATCAGAAAGCCAACAGCATAACGACGGAAGGAAAAACAAGTCACTCACAATTCTGTGTATTCCAAAGACTCTGCAGTCTTGGTTGGCTGCACGTGGACTACGAATCAACAGGGTGATGCAAATACCAAAGAGCTTAATGCAATCGCAGATTGCAAGAACAGAAATACGGCGCTCAGCTAGACAGGCAAAAGTCCCTTTCTCCTCTGTGCTAGAACACTTTTGTAATTTCTGGTAAACTTCAAGAATGACATAAACATACTGGGATATACAACCAGCAGAGAGGCAGCAATTAGGAGAGAAAGCATTTCATGGGAAGAGTGGAAGACTCTTCTGTTGCATGCCAACCTAACAAGGTCCCTCCAGTACATCAGGAAAGTCCGGCCTTGACCGCCAGTCTAAGAAACAGCATCCAGACATCTGACTGTACAGCCAGGAACAATCCATCTGGGAGCTCCTCACAGCTGACTCAGGGGCCAGCACAGGGCTGTACCTCTCTGTTGTGAAGCCACACCTCCTCCGTGCCACTTCCACCACAGCTCTGAGCAGCTGTCACCAGATCCCACACCGAAATCAATGCCTCTTTTCCTGACCATGGAAAGCACAGTTCTGGGTCCTTAGGAACAAGCTCCCATGCAACCCACTCAAACTCCAGAACTTTACAGCACTTCTTCTTCTTCCAGATGGATCACAAGTTGGAAGATTTGTCAGCAAAAGCTAGCCTAATCAATTCCCTCCTCAAATGTCAAATCGAGTGAAGAGTCCTTCTCTAAGTGGTTACCACCGCTGGCCTATGATGGAAGGATGCTTCACCACTGACACTGTCTGGAACCACCAAACAGACTGGTTTGCTAAAGGTTTCCTGACTGTTTCTAAACTGTCTAGATTGTGAACATCATTCCTGCCTGGACCAGTGGACAGCAAACACTGGCCTCTGCCCCTTCTGCCCAAGAGACTAGGCCGTGACTTCTGTAGCCAATGTCTTGGTCAGGAAAGTTCATGTTCCCAGGACACTTCCTCAATGTGAAGGAACCACCAGGAAACTTAGCAGATGATTTCACTTTTTAAAGATCAGAGTCAAAATGCCTGTCAAACTAAATCAAATGTTTAGGAGGAAGATAAATGACATTTTCCTTGTAGAAATAAATGCTTAACTTTTACTTACCAATATCAAGTTGCAACGGTAATTGCTCTTACATGCACAGAATTTATCTCATCTACAAATTTGTCTACTTGCGTCAACCATATGACCAACTCAAAACTGTGACTGCAGGCAACCTGGGTCCCTAGCTGTCCGTAACACCAAGCCCATACCATTCCTGTCAGGGACGTCTCTTCTGTGTCCCCAGAGTCACTGTCTGTGGCGATCAACTTCTCTAGGTTTTCTTCCACTGATTCCTTCAGAGAGTGCCAACCCCCAGCCACTGAAAAGGAAACCCCTTAAGGAAGAGCTAGAGAACAAGTCCTAGGCCACAGGGGCAGGGAAATGTCCACTTTAATTGCAGGCATAGAAGTTTTTGCTTACTTGAGTTGGAATTCTTGATCTGCCGTAATGTTCTCAGAACCTTGTGCATGTCCTTGATGCTGGTGTCTTTCTGGCTGTATAAAAGAAGCCTCTGAGCATCTGAGAACAGGCGAGACACACTACAAAAGAAACAGGAAAGTAGTAAACACCTGATTCAGCTAGCTGCCCCTCCTGCTTTAAGAAAGTAACTGCCAGGTCTGCCTGCCACAGCCCGGCTTCCTACACTCCCAAGCCATGACTGCGGCCTGAAGTGCTGCCCATGTGTCTATGCCCAGATCAACTTCCAAGGCCTGGCCCATCACACACACACACACACACACACACACACACACACACACACACACATACACACACACACACAGGGAGGGGGGGGAGAAAGACACCA